AGCCAGCTCTAATCAACACTGAATCTACTGAGCAGGGGTAGAGATTACTTGGGTACAACTGCCTCCTAGGAATCTTACATAAAAGTCAGAGATGGCCCAGAATGACATGTGGAAAATTACGTGTGATAAGGGACAAAAGGGTTCATCTTACCGTGGCAGCTGAAGTGAGGGGTAGAGTCATGTCGCCTTAGTTCTCTACTTTCCATACTTAAAACAGTGAGAATTTACAATTCCTGCTTTCATCAGAAGAGCTACAGCAAGCCCATCTGACCTTTTTTGCAGCTGCGAGAGTAATGGACTTTGACGGCTGCAGTGGCATAAGTTCTGCAGGTTGCTGTAGGAACAGCCCTCTAAGGTTAGTTTGGTTAAAGTACGATGCATGATGTGCTCTAAAATCTGATACACATCGATACAGGAGGAACTTTCAGTTTGAGTGCTGCTTTAGAAATATTTGATAAAAACAAAAAATGCAGAAAGGGGTCTTTTCTCTGAGTTGTCTGGCCATAATGCGAACACCACCACAAGCTTAGGGTTTAGTAGCTGCTGTTAAACAGGGAGTTGTGGTGCGCATGTTTCTGATTCGTTTTCTACCAGAGTATAGATTTGCTGAATTAGACCTTCTGCAAGCTCCAACAACTTTTGGGATTATTTCCCTCCCCTGCCCCCTGAGCTGTCTCTTGTGTCTCAGCACCATGGAATGAACTTTCTGGTCTAATCCTGTTTGAATCAACACTGTTGATGGGTCCGGGTCCAGGCTCTCTTCTCCCTGTGTTCGGGGACACAGAGGTGTTCTGCTTGGTTTTCTAAGATTAGATGGGACTGCAGTAGATCTGTTGCACATATTTAAGCAAAATGAATTTGCATGTGCTTTTTGACAGTGTTTACGGAGTCTATGATTTTTATCATGATTGTGGTTTTCTTAAAGCTCCAGCATCTTGGACTTACGTGAGATTTCTAACTTTCATAGAACAGAAAACTTTTTTAGCTAATGAAGTTGCAGAGACATGTATAGGTGAATTTGAAAAGCTACAGCATAAAACAAATAAAAAGACTGTAAAATTTCATGATTTATGGGAGATGGTAATGCAAGATTTTTGAATAGTTAAGAGTTGGGAATACTGTTTCTCCTTTCCAAATGTCTTTTTCAGTCTTTACACTATTTAATTTTATCTTGTGCCTTTTCGTTTCTCTAAACTTGTTTCTTATTTGTTTAAATACTTGTTTTTCTTCCTTTCTTTGCCTTTTTTTCTGTACATGCTTTTAATGTTTTCTTCTAAAAGTTAGTTCTGTAGTCTTTCTGTCTCGTTAATCCCTTCCCTCCCTGCCTCCTCCTCTTTGATGTTTGTGCTGTGGTCTTCCTCTGTTTCCCAACAGACTTCTCTTAACTCTCATTGCATGATAAAGCAGTGGGCCAATTAGCCCACGACCAAGGTTTTCCCTCCATTCCCCGTACAAATCCCCGAAGCACAGGCAGACGGTGCTTTAGAGACTGGATGTTTCCATTTGCTGCTGCATGCAGAGCTAATGGAGCAGCGTAGCCCGGAGAAGGACTATAACATAAAAAGCCTACGGGTGCAGTGCTGCTGCCCTGCTTCCAGCGTGTCTTCAGGCTAATGCTGAGGGCTTCATTTGTGTAACTCGCTCTGCTCCTCATATCGAAGCTTTATCCCCTCATGAGACTGCTCTTCGGAGAATATTTCAAAAACCTGTTCTATAAAAAGCCTGATGACTCAATCGTTCATATACGTACGTCAGAAAGGCTGCTCCCGAGGTTGAGCGAGATGAGGCGTGTGAAGGGGACCGAGGGGTGTTAATCCCGTTGCCGCTGGGGCTTGCAGGGGCTCGGAGAGACCGAGTCATTCAGGGCTTGTCCTTCCTGACAGTGCGAGCGCCTGGGCTCCAGTCCCAGATGGCGTTTGATTTCTCAGCAAGTGCATACTCTCAAAATGAAGCCTCTGGGTTTGTACTCAGTGTAAGGACTTTTTCAGTCACAACTGGAAGCAAAGGCACAGGGCTAATGGCCCAAAGTTTCTTATTTCGAGTGTTATTTCAGGACTGTACCACTGTATGATATTGGGCAAGACATTTCCTGACTTCTCCCCACACAGACTTACTGACTGTAGCTGAGTGATGAGGATTAAAGCAATTAACGTTCGCACAGAATTTTGAATGTTAAAAGCCGTTACGTAACTAAGTGTTACTATTTGGGGGCGTGCTGCAGTGCAGCTGAGCTCGGTGCGAGCAGTTGGGATGTCAGCAGGGCACCACAGCCCCGACGCAACGGGGCGCGGGGTGGCCGCAGAGCCCTCTCCAAGGGCCTCGCTCTTGTGGAGTCGCCGTCCGGGGGGAAAACGTGCCCTTCAGCTCACTCTGCCGATGCGTTCATGTAGTGAATCGGCTGACGTGACACCGATGTGGAGGCAGAGAGTCGCGCTGATGGGGGAGAACATTCTGTAGAGAGGGTTGTTCTGTTTCTATACATTGAGTACCACTAAGATGTGATTTATTCTTTTATGCAGTTCTAAAAACAAAGTTTGCAAATGAATTCATCTGGCAGTCAAGTAATTCTGTAACCGTGAACTATGGATTATATGACTATTATGAGTTTATAAGGTCATTATTTATCAAAATAAATATGCTGTTTCTCATGGGGTTTTTTGCGATTTTTCTTTTTATTTAGCACTGGAGACAATTAAATCCATACAAGGTCAATTAAAAAATAACTTTTTCAACATTACATTTCAAGGGCAACCACAGAAAAACAAACAAAACAAAACCCAAATGGTAAACACCTGATAAGAAAGCTGCTTTCTGCTGATGAGCTCCAGAGTCTTTGTGGTGGGGTTGTGTTAGCTTATGATGTGTCTGGCCTGATCATGATCTAAGGGAAGGAGTGATTATGGTACAAGCTGCTGTGGAAGCTGTAGTTCAGATTAGCATGCTGCAGTTTGTACAAAAAGGGCCTGTGTTTTGTGGCTTTTTTGTGAATATTAAAGTCGGTAACTAGCTGAGCATGGTATCCCACAGTATAACACAGCTGATAAAGCTTCGGTAGTGAAGCAGGCATCTTACCAAACCTGAATAACTTCCTAAATTTTGCTGTCTTTAAAATTAGTGAGAATCAACAGGATGATTAAATCCCTGAAAACATAATCAAGGCTATGTAGTCTAATGGCAAGTTTTAAACATGAATAATCGTTATTGGCTCAGTTATTTTGTTCGGAATATATGTCATAACCCAAGGGACCTCCTGGATGGAGAACATGGAGATGCTCCAAGGTCAGCAGGCTTGCCATGGTTTCAGATCAGAGATTCCTGTGAAAGTGATGCAAGTTTTCGATATCGACAGCACATTGGGAGTAAGTTTCACTGGGCAAGTTACATGTATAGCTAGAGAGGTTGCAGAGAAGGAGGAGAATTGGAAAGGAAAATCCCTTGGTTTCATTGCTGTTAACGCTTCAACGTAAACTGGCAGTCCTGCATCTCCCTGCTGCCGTAGGAAAGCCTGTTTTTGAGTAGGATTTTGTAGCCTTGTGTCCCCACAGAGCATTTTCTGGTGAACTGTTCCCAGGGAAGAGGTGAAGGCTGCTATGTGCAACCTCCTCTTTTTCACCACATCGGTCATTTCTCTGCACGCAGACGCTGGTATTGGTTGCTGTCCCTATAGTTGTGACCTTTATCAGACGAGTTTGTTCATTAAACAAAAGATTGCTTCCTTAAACTAGTTTAACTTCCAAAATAGTTTAGAGGAACCCATAAAAGCTGACTCAAGATTTGAAGTTCTCTTTGTTTTTATTAATCTGCTCTTTCAACATTTGCTGCATTGAGTGCTATATCCTTTTTACTTTTAATTTGACAAATGTTGCACTGTGACAAACACATGAGAACTGGTCACGGTTATGTTTGAACAATGCGGTGGATTTTTCATTTAATTATCTTTGTGCCTGTAGCTGTAGCCCTCTTGACCTCTGCATTAACTGCACCATATATTTCGTTGTTTGATAATATGCTCCTTGAGGCAGGGATCTTGCTTGTCAGGTGTATAAATCAGCAAGTGCATGGGTTGCATACTGTAAATAATACTCGGAGAGGAGCTGCTTACAGGGAACTTGGGTAAACAGATCCAGCAGTTTGTGTTCACTGTGTCCATGGATTCCTTCTGGATAGAACTTGCTTTGCCCTTCATTAGATTTTTAACAACTTAATTAAGCAATCAGCTACATCATTTCTACGCTCGTCATTTTAGACTCTCTGAGGGTCCTGTCAGCCTGTCGCTAGCAGAAGCAGCTCAACAGAAGTGAGCCTAATACCTGCTGCTTTGCCAAAACCCAATCATTTCCCTGCTTGGCTTTTATGAGAAGTTAGGGAGCTCACAGGAGAAATAAACAACTGAAACATGCTGGTAGGGTTAATGGTCGAATCCTTTCTTTGCTAAGTCTTATACAGTTGATTTTGTGGTTTTGTTGTAGTTACTGGTGACTTCCAGCTTAGCAGACAGTAATCAGGCTCTGAGTTTATCTGTAGAGTTGCTTGCCTCATTGCGGAAAAGCAGTCGGCCTTTCTGTAGGGAGGCCTGAAGAGCCTGGGAATGGTCCCAGCTCTAAGCTTGTTTTGATGGCTGGTTGCATTGACAAAAACACCTGTGCTCCAGCTCAGCTTTAATAGTCTCTTATCTTCATACTTTATTTTGCTTATCTCCTTTTCCCTGCCACTTTCACTTGAATAAGATATATTTCATTCTGAGTCCAGAGCTGCTGTGTGCTGTTTCGGTGCCTGCTGTGCTGTGCCCAAAGGTGGGCGCTGGCCGTGAAGGGGGGAGCTGAGCCCTCTCGGGCATCCTCAGCTCACCTAGCTGCCTGTTCGCAAAGCGCCTTGAGAAACTCAGATGAAAGCAGCTGTTCTGTTTCATTCTCCCTACTCCCTTGAGGATCTGGCAATTGCATGTTTGTTTTTATTACCTTTTGATGTATGTTCCCTTTTTGTTGCTGTGTTTCTGACAGATCCTCCTGACTGGGTTCCAGATGAAGTCTGCAGCTACTGCACTGCGTGCAAGGCTCCTTTCACAGTCATTCGCAGGAAGCACCACTGTCGGAGCTGTGGCAAGGTAATGACTCAGTCAAACATGTGAGAAACTATCCGCCGAAGAGAACAGCAAATTTATGTGTACCACAAACTCAGCTGTGCAGCAAAATGCGTGCACTTGGCCACGGTTTTCAAGTCACAAGTGTTTTTGTACGTCTTGGCTGTCAGCTGCTCAGCTTACATTTGGGGGGGGGGGGGGGGGGGGGGAACGGGGCTTTTTATCCCCACCATCCCCAGCCAGTGGCACAATGCTGTGCCAGAGCAGGCACAAGAGGAGCCCTGTCTCCCAAAGGTAATCAATCAGACCTGTTCTGAAAGTGAGGCATTTTATCACCCTTATCTTCACTGGCTTAGCTACTGCACAAATAATTTGGGGGGGGGGGGACGGGATGGGACACTGACTTTTATACAGCAATAAGCATTTCTCTTCTAAAAGCAGAACTCCCTGTTGAGATCCTGGAACAAACGCCCCGAATCCAGAGTCACTCTGGACTACTGCTCTGAGCTTTACTGAGCCGCAGCAGCCTGCGCCGCAAGGGTGACGCACAGCTCGGCTGCAGGGACGGTGTGTCCCTTCGCTTTCTTTCTAAACCTTTGCAGGAGGACTGCGGTGTGTAGGGCTGCTGCTTTGCAAGTTCATGGGGGAGGAAGAGGGAGCGAGGGAGAATAAAGCAGTCATGTGCCTCAGGAAGCCAGAAATCTGCAGTCCCATTTCGCTTGCTTGCTGCTGTACAAGTTAAAAAGGAAGAGGGTAGAGAAGCTGTTTTTGTTAACTTTATAGTGGACTTGCAGGGGTAGGAACTTTGGAGATATTCACAAATATTGCCCTAGTCTTTCTTTAAAGCCAGTGGAGAGAGATGCTTCTTTTTGTCTCTGGTGCCTTCCCCTGTGACCTGCAGAGACACAGGCCTGCCTTGGCTAACGTCAGTGCTCGGGCACCCGTGTCGGAGAGGCTAAGCACAGTCAGATTATGGTCATCAGGCTGTGCTCTGCCTGCAGAGGGCTTTCGCTTGGTGTGCTGAGGGAGGTCGGTGTGGCCGATTCACAAGACCCCAGCGCATGCAGTCTTTTCTCCCCTCCCTTGAAATCAATCTTGTCCCATCCAGTTCTTCAAAGGAACTAAAGTGAAATCTCCCTCTTGTTTTTCAGATCTTCTGTTCCCGCTGTTCCTCCCACTCTGCTCCATTACCTCGTTATGGTCAGATGAAGCCTGTCCGTGTTTGCACTCACTGTTACATGTTCCATGTCACTCCCTTCTATAGTGACAAAGCTGGTATCTGACATATTAAACTACTGGTGTGGCTTCTGGAGTCTTACACGGACTGATATATTTGACCTAAGCCAAGAATTAACTTGAAAGAGGGACCCCGTGAGGGCGTGTAGGCTTTGACATCCATTATTATAAATTTTGTACAGACAGTTTTTATTCCATTTTACTAAGCTGCTAAAGGGAAGTATGAAGTGTCTGGAGCTCTAGGGCTGCAGTACAGTCTTCCATAAATTTACAACGTTAATGTTACGATGCCATATGCAGAACGAATGCACTGTGTGGAAGGAAATAGGGCTCAGAGAATTGAACAAGCATTGCTGCTTACCTTACATGCTAGGAACAGAGTCCGTCCCAGCACATCAGCCCCAAAGCTCAGAGACTTCTGTGCTCACTAGAATACCAGCATGGCTGTGGATGTCAGCACTTCCCCTCCTGCTGCGGTTTAACTTCCCCATTGCTACATTTGTGCTACCTATGCTAGGATTAATTAAAGCAAAACTAGTTCAAATCCATATTTGATACTTACAAAGGCAAAATTTTCTGTGAATCACATAGGGAGCACTGAGGGTCCTGAAGCAGTATATTTCTGTTGCCTTTCGTTTACCGAGCAGAGCAATAACTCCAAGTTGTCTTCTAAAAATTAAGTTTTACAGCTTCCAGTTCCATATTTTGGAGTTTTGGAAGTATTTATAATCTGCATCGTTTATGCTAAATCCTGTTAATAAAATTATAACACAGAGCTTTGGTTTCTATATCAGCATGTCAAACAAACTTTTTTTGTTTGAAATGCTGGTATAGAAATCAACAAACTTCAGAGGAAATGGTTACCAAATGAATGAATTAATATTAAAATACATATTTTTCAAAGAGTTTAGCAGCAAAATTCAGTAGATGTGACAAATTATTTCTCCCATACTGAGTGTGTAAAATGGTTTTTAAAAGGCAAATACATAATGATATATTGAAAAGGTCCTACAGAATGGTCAACCAGAGAAGGGTACTTGTTGTCCACATTTGGCAGAGTAACTGTGTAAAATACTGCATACTGTTACTTCACTCATGCTAACAACTCAGAAGACGTTTGTATTTATTTGAAACACCAGGGATTAATTTTTATCTCCACTTGGAGAGGAAAGAAATAAGACTCACATGGATTCATGCTATGATCTTGCACAAACTATTTGCAGTAAGAGCTCCCCGAGCACTGAGGTTTCAAAGGCGTTTGGCCATGCGTTGAGTTAGCCACATGAAAAGCGAGACACTGTGTGCTGTGGTTACAGAGGAAACGAGATCAAGAGCTCTTTGCTGTATCCCCTTTCCTGACTCACGGTGTTACACACTGTGTTGATAAATACAAAAAAGGATGAGGAAGTTGTTTGCGGTATCATGCTCAAGGAAAGTCGTCATTCAAAATGATAAAGCAAAACTGGACAGTGTTGATTTTTTTTAATTTATTTTTGGGGGGACATTCCCTTTGTTAAGTAGTTTAATGTTCAGTGTTAATGAGCCATATAAGGGTACAAGTTTGGCACTACTGTTGTTTTGAATCAGATGGAAGAGCTTCACTTGTGTAATGCACAAGCCTTATGATGCTGTTTGTAGACAATGTCAGCTACGATGTGTTATCCTCACCTTATTTATATTTTTATTATTATTATTATTATCTCCCTGAAATCCTTCCCATGGAATCCTTGAGTTGGAGTGTTGGCATTCACCAGAGTTTGGAAAGCATGGGGTTGGGCGATCGGTGGGAGGTGGGTAACGCGTGCGAGCAATGATACCTATTCAGGCTTAAATCTCAGGCTTCACATTGCAATGATTATTGCAGTTTTATTTTTAGAAAAAAAAAAAAAAACCAACGAATTTAATGCTTCTTTTATAGGATAAAAAAATACAACAAACTTCAATTGTGAAATAAATATGCACAAAAAGTTGCTTCTGTGAAAAAAAAAAGGAATCTTATTTAATGGACTGAATATTTATTCAAGCTTGTTTTTATTTTGTAAATGCTGTAATTCAGAATCATTTCCATAAATATGATATTTAAAGATCTCAGACACTATAGTTTCTTATGTAAATACAGACTCCTATTTCTCTTACTGAAAAGCACAATGACTATATCAATACTAATATACATTTGCCTCAAGGAAGACTTTCATCTTGTAATCTCTTCAGATAATTAAAGTGTCAGGACTTTCTACTTCCATGTGCTGGATTGCTCTTTCATTTCGGGGTCTGTTTCCATGGAGTGACAGCTGCCATCCCGTCAGACAAACTGGCCTTAAGTCTTTCTCGCTTTTGCAAGTAACATGAAAGAAATGAGTTGAAATTTGAAAGCGGAAGCCGCCCGTACAGAGAAGGGGTGGTAAATCAAAGCGGGAGTACTAGCCTGTCACTTAACACTGCCTTGTGCTATCCCTTGCCACTGGCTGAAAATCTCCCTTCCCGAAATATCTTGTGTCAGTGGCCACTTCACACATTAGGCGTATTTGATCTGCCTGTGTCACTCTGAATAATCTTTTCGGTGAGGGATACAAATCTGCAATGAAAATAGCGCTCCTTGGATCTACCTGCACAGTTATTCGTGTGAAGCATAAATGCCCAGTGCTGATTTGTTCTGCTCCATGTATGAGATATAACTGTGGTAGGTTTTATGAGAATCAATTTTATTTTCCAGAGGACTTCATGCATATGGCTTTGGGATGCCATTTCACTGGAGAAAAACCATGTTACGGCTCTGTGACATGAGGGTCGGCTTCAGAGGTGCAACAACAGGAAAAATTTATGGAAAGTCTGCACACAAGTTTAAGATGGCATTTGAATTAACATACATAATATTTATGGGCAAATAATACTGCCTTAAGGTGTGTATAAATAAATGAACAGTGAACCTTATCCTAAGGGGACTTTTTTAATGAAATTCACATCGCTTCAGGGTTTTGAGGGAAAAAGGGGATCTCTTTTCTCCAAACCACAACAATGCGTTCCACAGCAGTTTTCCTGCTGGGGATACCACAACGGGAGCAATATGGGATAATAAGGTAAGAACGACGTCGCCAAAAGTGGCAGTAATTCACCTGGTGTTTGACTCTCCTGTGTGACAGGTTCCCTCTGAATCACGGCTGTTTTCAGAGAAAAAAAAAAAAGAGTAAAGCCTGAAGTGATCCTTTCTAGATGTGTACAAATCATACAGCGTTTCCTGCTCTCCCCAGGTTTGTAAAGGGAGGTGTGGGATATCAGAGCGCCCTCTGCAATGAAAGGAACTTCAATTAAAAAAATACCTCTGCCTCCAGAGAATAACCCTGTCCAGAAAGCTCAAAAATACTTAAAAGCTGTCACACAGCAGCTCGGTGGGGAGGAAGCTGGATGGAAGTGATGGGCGAGGAAAATGACCTTTGTGTGCGTTGTCTAACCTGGGAGGAAGGAGGAGGAAAATGAGGTGCGTGCATGCGTGGTGGTGCCTGTACGCGGTGGGGGGACACGAAGGGTGGGCTGTGGAAGCGGGGGAAGCAGGAGCCTTGACTGTAGGAAAGCTTCAGATACAGCCCCATCGCAATCCTTCCTTCAGAGCTGGAGGAAACCACCAGCATTCTCAGTGTCTCGTCCCCAGCTGAACTCGCTGACGGTTTATGCAAAGTCAAAGCTGCTGGGTCTGCATCCTCCGGTTTCCGTGGCAACCCCCGATAGCATCTCTCCACCGAGTGCCAAGACTGCAGCACTCGGTTCCCGCACAGGCAGGCACGGAGGCTTCTGCTTTCTGCTTGGATTGTGATTGCTCAAACATCTTTATTTGTAACGAAGATTTATGCTGCAGAGTCAGATGCTTACTGTGAACTCTATTTACTGATGATAACATTTTACTGAATTATGCTTTATTGATGTTGCTTATCTGGAAGAAATCTCCTCTATGGGTATGCTTTTGACTACTTTTGAGGGCTCTTTAGCTATTTTCCCTTTCCTTCTTTCACCTTTTACCCCACTCCATCACCCAGCTTTTTCAGTTTCTGCTGTGTACAAGCTAGATGTCTTATGTAGCCTCCTTGGGTATCTTCCAGATAGTGCAATATCAGAGGTAGTATTAGACAATTCAAGGAGCTTTCAACGCTATTGCTTCCTGATCTTGCCCTTCAAGTTCCCAGGCACAGGCTCATTTCAAACCCTCATTTGGTGTCTTCGTACCTGCCACACAGGTCCTGCCTGGCTGCCTGAGCTGCCGTGGGTTTGGGACCAAGGTGTTTAGAATCATAGAATCCCAGGTTGGAAGGGACCTCAAGGATCATCTGGTCCAACCTTTCCAGCGCAATCTAGATGAGATGGCCCAGCACCATGTCCAGCTGAGTCTTAAACATGTTCAGCGTAGCGGAGTCAACCACCTCCCTGGGGAGATTATTCCAATGATTGACTGTTCTCATGGTGAAAAATTTTCCTCTCGTGTCCAATCGGAATCTCCCTGGGAGTAACTTGTACCCGTTACCCCTTGTCCTCACCATGTTGGTCGCCCTCCTCTGGACCCCCTCCAGCCTGTCCACATCTTTTTTGTATAGCCGGGACCAGAACTGTACAGAGGATTCCAGTTTAAAGTCCTGCAGTATTCCTTTACTTTGTGGAGGAGAGAGGATGGATCTTACATCCCACGTTTTAAAAGCTGTTAGTAAATTATAGATATTGCAAAGACTGATTTTTTTTTTTCCAATTTGCTCTCTTTTCTTTGGTCTTAAACCAAAAAATGGCAAAATATTAGGCCAGAAGGATGAAGAGGAGAAGACTTTTTATAGCAAATCTGGAAGTGAGAAGATGATGTTTTAATGAAATAATTGGTCTCTTTGAAAACAAGCTGTAACTGCATGTGCTAGGAATGCTGGGGCTCATGCATAAAACAAACTGGGCAATTAGTCTTTCATGAACTCATTTCTTGTTTTCACTAAGCACGAAGGCTCTGAAATGTAAAGTATGGTTTTCCCTCATGTTTCACTCAAAGGTATGAAGCTGATTTGTCTTCTGTTCGGTTTTTCTCTGCAACCCACCACCAGCCTGTTAGGGCTCTAACTGCGCTTGTCTGCAAAAGAGAAAGCTCTTCCGTACCCAAAGCAATGCAGCCACCAGCGGGGCCTCCAGGCCTCCCCC